TGGATGTTAATACTCACAGAGGGTTATAGATACTTATAGCTTCTACTGAGTCTCTATAGCTTCTACTGAGGTGCCAACACGATAGATTCCAAGGTTAAGTGTGAGATGGACACTCCTCTCCCTCCTCAACCCCTGCCTCCTGTGTACTGATTTACTAGGCAAATTATTGTTGTAACCTGTCTTGTGACATTCACACCCTTTAGTCAAATAGAGGATATACAAACAGGTCAGGAGGGTGAGAGAATTTTGTAAGGTGGGTATCCTTACAAAGAGATTCAGAGAAAATTATGCTCTGAACCCCATCTTTCTTGTTTCAGGAGGTTGGTGCCTATCATCCAGTTGAGCCTGGTAAAGGTCAGGGAGGCAGAAACATTCAGTAGGGCTTGCATGTGAGGAGTTGGATGAGGAGGATTTCTTGAGAAACAGTTGTTAGAGTACTGGGCTGTTTCCTATCCCCATCATGTTGTGATGAAGGAGTGGACTTCAAGAGACCTTCACCTGTACCTCCTCACCCCAAATTTGGTGATACAAAAACTGGCACCTGACTCGTGACTGATGCAATTTAAGTGGTTTGAGGATTGGGGTCTGACTCCTGCCTGGGAAATCTAGAGGGAGAGGCAAGAGCTGACCACCTGCTAGATGGTGGGTCAAAGAGTGTGGGGTGCTTTGGTGCATTGGGTCTGGGGAAGCAGGAGTGTTTAGAGAGGACCATGAAGGAGACAGAGTCCCTGGGGTCCTCTCAAGTCTTTTTCACCAGGACTGTCTGAAGGGACCAGGAGACCTCACAGTGGAAAGCATTGGAGTTGGGCTTCCAGGTCACCACCAGCTGGGGAGAGGGTCTCCAGTCATTACCAGGGCTACTAGGATTGGGGACTCAGGGGAAGGGAGCCAGCTGGGAGCTCTGAAGACCTCACCAAAGACAAAGTTATTTTCACCATCTGCTATTCCCAGAGTGCTAGAAACCACCCAGCGGTAAGAACGGCCCTTACTCCTTGCCCTTCCTCCCTGTCCTACTCTCCTGGAGTAAGGCAGCAGATAGAGAGTTGGGGAAGCTTGATTAGATTGCTCAGAGTTCCACAATGCAGGTGGTAGCCTGAAAGGAGTCAGGGAGCTCAGGGTGGGAGGTATGAGAAGGGGGGAGAAAAGGAAGAGGATTTAACACAGTCAAATGCAGCTTTTTGATTTTACCGTCTTCAACTGGACATTTTATTTATGGAATTAAGACCATGCATGTGACATAAAGTGACTTTGGGGTTATTACATATTACATTAAAATAAACACAGAATCCAGAGACCTGCCAGAGATTTTATCCATGAGTAGGGGAAGTTTGCTCCCAAAGAATAAAACTTAAGAGAAGACAGAAACAAAACTGTGCTTTAAGTCACCGGTCATATTTGTTTAGCACCTGCTTGAAGATGTAAGTGTGAACTTGGATGTTGGCCCTGGGTCCCAGCAGGTGGGCTGTGGCCCCCTGCACCTCATGCTCAGGGTATGATTTACTCTCTGCAGTGGCCTTTGTTCCCTGGCACTCTGTGGCGATGGGCGTAACAGTGGTGGGAGTATAAAGCTCCTTTTTTGAGAAACCATAGTGTGGCCTCCAACGAGGGGGAAGGATTTCGTTGCCCACCCCTTAAAACCTGTCTAGTATCATGAACAACCTCTGGGAGGAAACATAACCATTTTCAGTGTGATCATACCTTAAATATGAAAATACACTAAACCAGTCATGCACAATGTGAAACTGTGCTAAACTATATTTAGCGTGAGTGTATCACTTAGCTTCCAAATTGAGACCCTTTAGAGAAGGAGACACTAGGACTAATCATGTTGAAACAACAGGAATAATTTGGGATTGTCTTGAGCAAACCAGGACATATATGTTCATTCTATCCATAATCTGCTCCTCCTAATCTATAGAAAAAAAGAGTTTTTTCCTTTGGTTTTTTGTTTGTTTGTTTGTTTTTTGCTGGAGGTGAGAGCCAAAATTATATCCTGCTTTTGTGCAGCTCCATGCCAATTACTATGTAAGCATCCCCTGAACCGAGTAGCTCAGGGAATTTACTGTTTATTCACTTCATGCATGATGGTATTGTGGGTCACACACAGCCCTATCAGAATGCAGACAAGGCACTTAAATCGAGGTATCAGATTATGAAGCAATGTATATCTCCTAGGAATCCTTACATGCTCCTGGTTTGAGGTCCCAGCAGATATTCTTTTCCCAGGTAGAGACCATGCTCAAGAGTAAGAAAGAAAATGACCACAATTGGCAGGAGAAAAGATGGGGAGCCATTAAAATTAGGTGTGTTCCTTATGAGAGTCAGTGGGGTCGGGGGGAAAGTATATAAGATTTAAAATCAGAAGACTGGAATTTAAGTAAGTCACCCTAGTATTTAACGGGTGAGATTTAGCAAATATTTAATTTTCCCAATGAAACAGGCATTGCTATCAAACCATTCCCTCTTTATAAAGAGATGTTTAAGTGATCAGTATTATAGAGGACATTAAGATAAATATATTCTATATTATACAACTTTCAAGGCAGTCATTTTGAAAGTTCCTGTTCTTCTCATTTACCACTAAAAATGAGTATTGACGTTTCTCAGCCTTGCCTCTTCCTCTCTCTGCCTCTGAGCCCAGATGTTGAAACTTCTGGTAAGGAGATAACTACTTGTTTTTCAGTCCTCGTCACAGATTTTAGACCACTGAATACGCTACTCAGTCCATCTTCCATCTCTCTCTCTCTCTCTCTCTCTCTCTTTCTCTCTCTCTCTCCTCTCCCCCCAGCCCCGCCCTTCACTGTTTGATGAAATAATGTATGTGCACAGCAAATGGCAAAGTTCAGCCAGATATTCCTTATTAAGAAGCCACTTTGCTCAGGTCCTCTTGTGTATGGCAGAAGGTACTGCAATGAAACAGGTACAGATTCTTACCCCTCAGGAGGATGTGGCAGAGGGAAAAATTAAAAAAAAAAAAAAAAAGTTACAATGATGGAAACTTAATTGGTGAGTTCAGGGAATAGTAAACAAGGTATAAATTCACTTAGCGTCCCAAGGATGTTCCAATGAGTTGCAGCTATTGAGAAAACAATTACTAAGGCAGAAGTCATATAGGCTCCTGGCCAATTTGGCTCCAGTTTCCAGCACTTGAAGTGTGCACCACTCATAGGAGCTGTCAGGTATTTTTAGATATTTATTCTATTCCTTGGCTATACTGGAGCAATTCCAGCAAGAGTTGGAGGTACGCCATAGAACCCAAGCCAGTTTGCAATCCATTAATCAATATCGATTAAATTAAGCACTTAACCCAGTGGTTCGCAGCAGGTTTCTGGGGGTGGATTTTGCTGTCAGAGGGTATTTGGCAATGCCTGGGCACATTTTTGGTTGTTATGACTCAGGGTGGGTGTTTGCCACTGGTACCTAGTGGGCAGAGGTCAGGGATGCAGCTGAGCATCCTATGGTACATAGGGCAGCCCCACACAGCAAACAGTTATTGGACCCAAAAGTCAGTAGTGCCAGAGCTGATGAACGCTGGCCTAACCTAACTGTGAGTGTAGCACTATGGGGGATACAAAGCAAGCAACACACATGATCTCAGCCCTTGAGTAATTTAGAGCCCTAATCCAGAGGACGGCCAACACACCCATCCATTAGTTGAAATAATTCCACATCCAGAAATATTTACTGAGTGCTTACTGTATGCCAGGAACTCTGCAAGATTTTAGGATGATTTGTAGTTTTGGTAGGACCTTTTTTCAAGGGGTTTAGAATTTACTGAGGAGGACACATATTAAAAAGAAGACACATGAAATTCACTGTGTAGTGGGAGAAATCATATTTGGAAGGGAAAAATCAATGTTTTGCCCTGAGAAGGAATGACAGGAAGCATTTCTTTAGGCTTGGTGGTCAGGGGAAACCTCTCTGAGAACATGATAGTTAAGCTGAGAAAGTGACGGAAGAGAAAGGCAAGCAGAGGCAGCCATGTGCCCCAGGATCTGAGGCAGCAAAAAGCTATTGATTTAGAGTGATCTGTGTGTGTGGGCGGGGGCGGGCAGTGTGCCTGTATATGTAGACGGGGTATAGTCAAGCCAATAAGCCTGGTACGAATTCACAGAAGGGAGAAATAAATAGGGAAAATCTAGAGGAGGACATAGGGAATTGGCTGAAGCTGGGGGTGAGGCAACGATTTGGTGAGAGAAGTAAGCATGCCTTGTTTATGAAGGGAAATAGAAGAATCTGGACTGGCTGGGTTAAAACAGGACAAGAGAGTCATAAACTTTGATTTTCACCAGAGTGCTTTTAAAATGGGCCCTTTCTATGGTGACACTGTATGTGAGTGACCAAAGAAAAGGAAATTTTTGGAAAAGTAGACCCTTCTTCTTTGTAAAGGGATTGGTGTGGGCAACTTTGTGTTAAAGAGATCTCTAGGCAGGGAAAAATCATACACTTAGAAGCAAGGACTTGGACTCAGAATGGCCGATGGTGCTATGGAAGAAAATAAAGCTTTCTGCTATCAGCAACTGTCCACTTCATTCACTCAATAAATATGTTTGAGTGTCTTTGATGTTCTAGACCTTGGAAACGTATTTGTGAGCAAAGTCAGAAATGGTTTCAGCTCTCAGGAAGGTTACAGTTTAGTGGGAGAGACACCACTGAAATAAAAAACAAAAGTAAGTATTCATATAGAGTTAAGTACTGAGAAGAACGCATATTTGTCCTTATAAAAGCCTATGATTAGAGGATTCTAGCTTGATAGTAGTGACAGGAAAGACTTTTCAGAGAAAGTGTTGAGTAAGAGGCATGTAGAAATTGCCCAGGTGAGGTGGGGTGAAAAGGAAGGATGCAAGGACTTCTGCAGAGGTATTGGCATGTGGAGGGTAGAACCATGGCAAGAAAGAAGGGAAGGAACTCCAGGGTGACTGGAATGGAGAGGGGTCATGGGAAGTGCGGTGTGAAACGAGAACGCACTGGTAGGGCAGAGTAGGAAGGGGGAAGGTAGGATGGCGAGTGGAGTTGCGGGAGCGCAGAGAGAAGGGGGCAAGTATGCATTTTGGAAGATCCAAGAGAAAATACTGCCAAATCATGTAGGAAAACACTGCAAAAAATCAGGAGAGGGATAGTACATAGGTTAAGGTCATATTGATGGGAATGCATTAGTTTGTTCATATTCAAGAAATGCTCAGGGGGGTAAAAAAATAAACTTGGGGCTAAACCAGTAAAAGAAGATGGTGGCATCAAGGATCAAAGCTAGGTGCCTGGCGTGCCAACAGGATAGATAACCATACCCTTCACCGAGAGAGGGAACTCTGCAACAGGACCCATTTTGGGGAAGATCACAAGTTCAATTTTAGGAAAGTTGACTTTGAGACATCCAAGGGGAGCTTTCAAATGTGGGTCTGGAACTCAGAGAAGTGTCTGGGCCGCTGATAAGCAGCCACCATGCTCCTGCTTAATTAAGTGCTGACACTCTTCCCTCTGCAGAGGCTAGTGCCTTGCCTCCATCACAGTTCTATCTCTGTTAATCTGCAGGCTTGAAAATGGGTGCAGCCCAGCCCCGCCAGCTCACAGCGCTGCTGATCTGAACTAAGCAAGGAGCCAAGAGAGTTTAAATCCAAGATCAATGTTGAGCATGTGTTGAGGGGAGAAAGAAAGTGAAGGGTGAGAAATCGGATCGCCAGTGTGAAGGCGGGGGTACTTCCAGGGCGCATAATTTGGAGGGAAGAGCATCGTGGGCAAGGGGGTCTCACGTTAGCCATTCACATAAGCCCTAAAGTAGCTGATTAACGCTATGCTGTCAGTGAGCTAATTGGATGATAGGATTATATTTTGGAAAGGGATCTTCAAAGTTATCTAGATCAATCCATGCCTGTTACTGTGGAAGAAACTGAGGTCTGGAGGGGATAAATGGCTTACCTAAGTTTACCCCACTTACTAGTGACAGAATGTGGCTACCGTCTATCCCAGTTTACTTCACTGTTCAGCTTGGCTCTGTCCCCCAGAATTTTGATTGTGAAGGGAGTGACCTGCAGCATTATTTCACTACCTTGCACTTTGAGTATAGATGTTGATCAAACAGCCCTGGGCCCCGTTAGTAACGGAGAACGTGTTTTGTGGCTTTTTGCCAGCACACGCCTATAATCACCCCACTGAAATTCACAATGGCTTGGATAATGATATGAACCTTAACTATGAATTTAGCAGTCCTTTACAACATCCAACAATTATAGTTTATCACTGTCCTACGGGGAGAAAAGGGGGGAAATCCAGTACAGGAAACAAACTAACAAATTTGTTTTAAAACCCAGCCTCCTCTTCTCTCCCCCCCCAGCAAATGTTGTAAATTCTGGGTTTATACTTTGCTGGAGGAAGCAAGCTCAATGTCAAAAGTATTTTAATAGCCTTTGATTTACTTTTTAAGTGCCTAATTGGATGACTGATGACAGTGCTTTTGAAGCCAATCGCAGATTTGGGAGAGACAGGAATTCATTGCTGTCTTCCCCCTGACTGGCTGTGTGTGAGGGTTGGTTTGGTTTGGGCAGGACTTAGAAGCAGCACAAGGGCTCAGCCTGCATTTCCTTTTCTCTTTGAGTGGCAGGTGGCTCTTATTTTTCCCTTTGGTCACCTAAAAGAATGTGGGGTTTGCCACAAGGACATTTCTTAGGCTTCTGTCCCTCAAATACCCAGTTCCATAGCCACCCTGCTGAATGGGAATAGCGCCGCTTGCTCTGGGGGCTTCACTCTGCCTTCAGGCTTTACAGGAAAAATTATCCTTCTATGTTAAGTCATGAACTCACACCAGAACTGGCACTCCACCTCACATGCCTCAAAGCCCAAAAGCAGACCAGGCGGTCGAAGCAGTAATTGGCTTGGGTTTCCATTTGTTCAGGCCATAATAACTGCTGTACCACGCATAGCACCCAGCAGGTGAGCTGTGAAACCCATCTCTCCTTAATGGACAGAATTAAATTTATTTCACCCTGTGCTCATTCTCCGAATCCCCAGTGGCCAGCATCACTGACAAGGCAGAAGTGGGCTTTTGAGATGTAAATACTGTCACCAGCTACATGAAAATCCATGAAGTCAGTTCCTGAGTCTTTACAAGACATTTAGATGAAGAAACATTGTATTTCAGTTCCAGCAGCATTTTTCTTCCCTCTGAATCCAGCCACAGTGTTCATCAATTTGTTTAATAATGCCTGGGGAGCCTTTGGCTCAGGCACTGAATAATGAACATTTGGAGTGCCCACTGCTTTAAATACTTTCTAAATCTGTGTTCCCTTCTGTGCAAAAGGCAAACTGACAGGAAGGAGACTTTCTTTTTCTCATTCTAAAGAGCAGTGGCATAGAGGAGTTTGTTTTGGTAATGACACCTGACCAAAGAAAAGTTACTTTAGAAATACAGTTCCTGCATATTTTTTTTTCTTTTTTACCACACAGTGGCATTTCCTTTATAGTGGAGGCTCACAAATCTGACTATCAAAATCCTATATGAACCTTTAAAAAAATTCAGCAGTGCAGGTCCTACACCCGGATGCCAGGGGGGAATCCAGGTGTGTATTTTTAAAGCTCATATAGTTCAGTTCTTAAGCAACCAGAGTGGAGAACCCCAAAAAGGATTACACTGTCCAAAACAGGAGTATGCAGCTCTCTAATTAATGTAATCACATGAAGAACAGTGGTCCTAAACTTTTGTGGACTTCGATGCTCTGGGGAGCCTGTTAAAATGCAAATTCAAATCAGAGACTCTGATTCTTGTAGGTCAGGGTGAGGACGGGAATCTACAATGTAACAAGATCTTGTACAAGAAATAAAAAGATCATCTAATGAGAAAAAGTGGCACAGGCCGACTATCAGTAGTAGTTGTTACTGTGTTTTGCTTGGTTTTCTTTAGTTTCTTATTTAATTATTGTGCTTTATAGGATTTGGTCAAATTAAGCACATTAAGTGGATTTTATCCCTACTTCTTTCCAGATTAAGTAGGGGTTACTGTCTGGCCATGGTTAGCCTTAGTGGTAGTTCCCAAGCAGGCTTCGTATCTGAGGAGCTTTTAATATAACCTGATGTCTGAGTGCCTGCCTCCACCAATGATTCTAATTAAATTGGTTTGGGATGGGGCTCAGACTGACACTTTAAAAAATATCCCCATCTGACTCTAATGTGCAACCAGGATTGAGGACCACTGGCCTAGAGAAAGGTGTGGAGCCACAGAATTTCTCGAACTGGCACAGAAATGCAAAATGCTGTGCTGTCTGCAGCACTGACAGTGCTAGAGGGGTCAGGTCTTTAGTCTGGAGGGACTGCACTACCCGATACTGAGTTCAGGATCCTACTCTGATACTGACAGCACGAAGCTCATCTGTTGATTGAATAGGCCTGAGCCTGTGTGACTGAAAGAAAAAAAAAGTCAAGGGAAGGAAAAAAGACATCTGCAGGTTTTGTTCTCATTACTGAGCTCTGAGGGTGTTGTGGATAATCTGTGCCACTACAGTGGGATATCCTAGTATGGTGCTGGCTGGGGTGTGCTCCCTTGTGGAGTCCTGAGTGACACATCAGCCGGGGACCTTGTGGATGAAGGAAACTCTCTTCCTTTTGAAAAGTCAGCTGTTCAGTTGTTGAAGCTAAATCTACAGATATCTTCAACTGCAACAAATAGTTCTTGGACATCTATTAAAAACTGGTGCCATCCACTTTCACAGTTCTTTACAGCTTATGAAACACTTTCACATACATTTTCTTCCTTAACCTTTTCAAGACTGTGAACTGGACCAAACGAGACAAAGGGGGCTTAGAGAGTTTAAATAACTTTCCAAGGGCAGACATCAATAATACATTGGGTGATATTGTGGGGCAATAATTCGTCTTATTATTCCTCATCCAAATGCAGGAGCTATTATCATAGTTGGAACATGGACAAACATATTAAAATGTTAGTTTTCACCACTTATTTTATGCATACTATGCAATGATTAACAGCACATGAGAGCTATAATTTGTTATTATCTTAGATCAGGCCTAAGAAAAATACTTGTGTTGATTAAAAGAAGGAAAAAAAAAGCAAAGTAAATAACAGCATATGTTGTGGTCCAGAGATCAGGTAGAATCCTGGTAGTGGCACACAAATGACCACAGTTGTAGCAGTACGGCTCCAGTCATGCCATCATTGTGTGTGTATGTATATGTTCAATAGATAATAATCATTTGATAGGTTAAATGGAGAAAAACTGTGTAGTGTAAAAACAACTTACTAGAGCTTTGTTTACCTTCCATGGGAGACATTTGTATTAACTGATGTCATTGGTAATAATATATCCGCATACTACACACTTCTTGTAGTGACTGATGGGAAAGAAAGATGGGATAAGAACTCGTGTGTGATTCTCTGAGGTGAACACTAAAGACACTACCCTTTCAGGAGATATATGACAAGGAGTACAAATCTCAGTTTGAAGCTCAGAATATCTGGTATGAGCACAGGCTCATCGATGACATGGTGGCCCAAGCTATGAAATCAGAAGGAGGCTTCATCTGGGCCTGTAAAAACTATGATGGGGATGTGCAGTCGGACTCTGTGGCCCAAGGTTATGGCTCTCTTGGCATGATGACCAGTGTGCTGGTTTGTCCAGATGGCAAGACAGTAGAAGCAGAGGCTGCCCACGGGACTGTAACACGTCACTACCGAATGTACCAGAAAGGACAGGAGACATCCACCAATCCCATTGCTTCCATTTTTTTTTTTTTTTTTTTTTTGCTATTATGACTAAGGTCTCTAAAACATTCTTGTACAAGTATTATATTTGTCTTTGTCTTGGCATATGTCTCTATTTCTTTTGGGTAAATATCTAGGAGAGGAACTGCTAGGTAACGAGGGTAAATGTATGTTTGACTATATAAGAAACTGCTGGTTTTGAAAGTGGTTGTAGCATTTTTATACTCCTGCCAGAAGTATATGAGAGCTCCAGTTGCTACACATTCTCACCAACATATGATTTTGTCAGTATTTTAATTTTAGCCATTTAAAAAAGTGTGTGTGAAATAGTACCACATTCTGGTTTAAATTTGCATTTCTCCGATGAGCACTTTTTGTGAGCTTATTGACCATTTGTGCATCTTTTTTGTAAATTGTCTGTTCAGTCTTTTGCCCATTTGAAAAAAATGGGTTGTTTTTCTTTTTATTGTTGATTGTAGTAGTTCCTTTTATACTCTGTATACAAATCCTTTGTTAGGTGTATGCATTATAGGAGTTCCTTGCAGTCCATTGCCTGCTTTTTTATATGCATAAATGGTATATTTTGTTAAGAACAAGTCTTTAATATTGATGATGTCTACTCAATATTTTCTTTTAAGGTTAATGCTTTTTTGGTGTCCTATTCAAGAAATCTTTGCATACCACAAGGTGATGAAAATGTTCTTTTATATTTTCTTCTCCAAGTTTTATAGATTTAGCTTTTACATTTAGGTCTGTAATCCATCTCAAATTAGTTCTTGTATATTGAGTGCGATAGGGGGTGAAGTTTGTTTTTTCCATAAGGATATCCTTTTATTTCAGTGCTACTTGTTGAAAAGATTTTCCTTTCTTCGTTGAATAATCTTGGTACTTTGGTCAAAACTATCTTGATCATATATACACCCTAACATATTTTTACACAGAGTTTTTTTTGTCTATCGTTACACTAGCACTACATGTATACCACATAATTATAGTAGCTTTATATTAAAGTCTTGAAATCAAATAGTGGCATCAATACAACTTTATTTTGCTTTTTTTTTAAAAAAAGGTTGTTTGGCTGTTTTAAGTCCTTTATAGCATAATATAATTTTATGATATATATGTCAATTTTTACAAAATTCTTCTAGGGTTTTGATTGGGATTACATTGACTCTACACCAATTTGGGTAAAATTAACATCTTAACATTATTGAGTCTTCTAATCTCTGAATATGGTTTATCTCTGTCCATTTATTTAGGAATTCTTTAGTGTTTCACAGAATGATTTGAATTTTCAATATATATGTCTTGATATTTTTTGTTAGATGTATTCATAAGTATGTATTTTGGGTGCTTTTTAAATGGAAAATTTTTATTTTCTAAGTTTTTGCTGATAGGATACAGAAATATAATTGCTTTATTTATTATTGGGTCGGCCAAAAGGTTCATTCGGTTTTTTTCTGTAAGATGGCTCTAGTAGCACTTAGCCGTCTTTAACTTCATTCAGAACAAATTGGTTAGACTGTATGTAACAGCTGTCTTATCAGCGCGCATTTAAAAAAAGACTTATCAAAATTGGTGAATTTTTGTGTAGCCATTTTAATATTGAAGGTGGAAGAAAAAAAGCAACATTTCTGGCATATTATGCTTTATTATTTCAAGAAAGGTAAAAATGCAACCGAAATGCAAAAACAGATTTGTGCAGTGTATGGAGAAGGTGCCGTGACTGATCGAACGTGTTGAAAGTAGTTTGTGAAGTTTCGTGCTGGAGATTTCTCGCTGGACCGTGCTCCGTGGTCAGGTAGACCATTTGAAGTTGATAGTGATCAAACTGAAACAATAATTGAGAACAATCAACGTCATACCACACGGGAGATAGCTGACATACTCAAAATATCCAAGTCAAGTGTTCAAAATCATTTGTACCAGCTTGGTTATGTGAATTGCTTTGATGTTTGGGTCCCACATAAGTTAAGCGGAAAAAACCTTCTTGACCATATTTCTGCATGCGATTCTCTACTGAAATGTAATGAAAATGTTCTGTTTTTAAAACAAATTGTGACGGGTGATGAAAAGTGGATACTGTACAATAATGTGGAATGGGAGAGATCATGGGGCAAGTGAAATGAACCACCACCAACCACACCAAAGGCCAGTCTTCATCCAGAGAAGGTGATGTTGTGTATATGGTGGGATTGGAAGGGAGTCCTCTATTATGAGCTCCTTCCGGAAAACCAAATGATTAGTTCCAGCAAGTACTGCTCCCAATTAGACCAACTGAAAGCAGCACTCGACGAAAAGCATCCAGAATTAGTCAGCAGAAAACGCGTGATCTTCCATCAGGATAACACAAGACCGCATGTTTCTTTGATGACCAGGCAAAAACTGTTACAGCTTGGCTGGGAAGTTCTGATTCATCCACTGTATTCACCAGACGTTGCACCTTTGGATTTCCATTTATTTTGGTCTTTACAACATTCTCTTCATAGAAAAAATTTCAATTCCCTGGAAGACTATAAAAGGCACCTGGAACAGTTCTTTGCTCAAAAGATAAAAAGTTTTGGGAAGATGGAATTATGAAGTTGCCTGAAAAATGGCAGAAGATAGTAGAACAAAAGGGTGAGTACGTTGTTCAGTAAAGTTCTTGGTGAAAATGAAAAATCATCTCGGTGCTTTGTGTCCCCCTAGAGGGGTGGGTTAGGGAGGGTGGCAGGGAGACACAAGAGGGAGGAGATATGGGGATATATGTATACATATAGCTGATTCACTTTGTTATACAGCAGAAACTAACACACCACT